CTGAATGTAAACTCACATATTCCATCATTACGCTGTATAACGATGTGTCAGCTGTGAGGGACCTGGTTGCCAGATTTTTATTTTTTTACTTGCAGCTTGTGTCTAATTTATTGTAACCCTTAATTGTGCACACTGATATTGCATTACAAATAAGTTTAATTGTACAGTGCTACTACATCACAAAGGAATACATCACTAATACACAGCTGTAATAAGACAGATAGGAAAGTCAAGCAGTGGCAGTAAATATTATAAATAATATTACTCCACAAGTACACCACAATACCACAAACTCGGGTTTAAACCCTGACCACCGAGATACCACAGCCCCCATTTCTGGACTCATTAAAAACAGATTTTCTGTTGATGTGTTGTTTTAGCTGCAGCTCTGACGACTCTTGGATAGTAGCTAAAATATATCAAAGATATTCAGAGGAGTCTTCATTAAATTTCTGTCTCTCATAAGATTTCAACATCACACACACGCACACACCTCACCCACGGAACCCATCTTTTGTGTTAGTATTGGCCAGGCATCAGTGTGCAGATCTGCCTCAGCCTTCTGGAGATTCATCATCAGTCTTCACGCTCCGTGTTCTGTGGGAGTGTGTTTGACTTCAGCTCTCCAAACCCATTTCCTTTTTTGGCAAAGCATCCCCTCCTGTCCCCATCTTTCTTTCATCTCCACTGATTGTAGACGTTAAGAAGTTAAATGTTCCTTTTCATCACCAGTATTTTGGTGCTGATATGCACTGTAAATAAAACCGTGAATTATTTCCACTTTTGCCATGAACTGCAGAACAAATTGGAATGTAAACTGGAAATCTCCTCTACCTTCTCTTAGTGTGTCAACACCAGTTATGGTTGTGGTAATGTAGGTATTACAAAACGTATTTATGTGCAGGTTTGGTATTGGAGACATAATGGTTTTGAGGAGTCTTAGCCTACATGAATGTGGTCATGACTGATTTGGTTTTACTGACGTGCTCATTTGTGTGTAGTAGTAGCTGAGTTGCCCTCAGTACAAACTGAGTAATAACAGCCCATGAGAGATGTCAAGACAGTGCATAATGATTTAAAGGGATCCCCGATTAGTTGTAACATTAGATTTGATTTGATAAACATTTATTTTAACTGTAAAATAAAGACTGAAAAAATACTGTGGGATGTTTAGTTTTGTAAATTTTTAAAAATATATTTTAACACGGACGGGGCCATTTTATTTACACACAAAGCATTCTGGGAAAATGATGACGTGGATAGGTCCTCGGTGTGAGTGAGCTATGTCCACCCTGAAGGTTAATCTTGGACAATATCTGATGATCGACTCTTTTAAATGAAACCAGAGAGCGTTGACAGAGAGGAGAAGGTAGAAATGACTCWST